ATGTTATCTTTACATACACTTAAGCAGCCCCGGGTAGGCTTATGATGCAGGAATAGGGGGAGGTTTTATTAGGGACTGTCCTAGATTGAGCAAGGTTCACATGCTCCTGGGGCATTGAGAAAAAGCCCAACTTTATCTGTGCACAAATTCTGGTGAGCGAAGGTGAGAATTTAGAATCAAGGATTGTGGGCACCTTGGGATCCCTGGCATGATTTACATACTAGGCGTTAGTGGCAGGCTAGAGCTACAGGGTTGATGATGGTGTTTTCTACGTTTGGGTTGAGCCTGTGTGGATATTTGAATGGAAAGATGGATTCTTGTCTAAGCCACACATTTACTGTTCTGCAGGGTGATGTTTGATTGATAGACTGAGTGCATTTCCCCTATTTGTTGTTTCTGTTGCAAACCCAAGGGGAGCCACACATCAAGAGGTTGCCTGCATTTATACTCAACAGTAAAATGTATTGGCAATAGTAAGAGGTGGTCACCTACAGTTGTCCATGGATTCGGGACCATGAAATACACATGATTACATAGTGGTATGTGGGATCAGATCTGGAACCAGAATAAACCTTTATGGCATGTGTTGGGGTCACCCTTAGCTTAATTTCTGGGGATCCTGGCCATTCACAGTAATGATGTCCTGTAGGAGTTCTTATCTGAGAACTTCAAGCCAGTCCAGGTCCGCAGGAATTCCATGAAATAGAAGGAGGGAGCTCAGTATTTGAAATCAGACAACCTTCTTAGTTCCCCGTGTGACTTTGGATAAAGGAGTTCTTCTCTTTTAGCTTATTTGTCCACAACATCTGTTCCAGCAATAAACCATTTTCTTGTAGAATGTATCCATTCAACAGTTTTACTGGGTGGGCTCTGATACGGCTCCTAAGGCTGTGAAATTGTCCACAATATAAGTGATGGTGTCAGACTGATTCCTAAGTATCTCATTTTTTGGGGCTGCTATTGTGAAGGGTGTGGTTTCTCTAATCTCTCTCTCAGTGAGTTTTATTGTTTGTATACAGGAAGGCTATTTATTTTTTTTTTTTTTTTTGGTTGTGGTTTTTCTCCGGTACCGGGAACCGAACTCACGACCTTGCGCTTGCCAGGCAGGCGCTTTTGCGGCTGAGCTAAATCCCCAGCGGCTATTGATTTTTGAGTGCTGGATTTGTATCCAGCTATGCTACTGAATTTGTTATTAAATAGAAGTCTTTTGGTGGAGTTTTTGGGGTCTTCTGTGTAGAGTATCATGTCATCTGCAATGATAATTTAACTTCTTCCTTTCCTATCTTTATTCCCGTGAAGTGTTGGTTCATAATTTCATAATTAAGGTGACTTGGAGTCAGATCATGCCTGGGCATAGTGGAAAGGTGTGAGAGTTTTAATGATAACATGAAAATAAAAATATGTGGGTTCTTTTCTCTGGTTATATGAGGCCAACAAAAACCCAACTGTTGTTATTCCTGAGGGAAATGGGGGAAGTGAGTGGTTAAACCCCAGCTCTAAAAGTAACTACAGGGACCTCTTTTCAAAACAAAGGAAGGTGGATTTAGGATTCTCTATGAGATGTTGTAGCTCAGAGCAGAGTGGGAAACATTGTGCTTTTCTTTCAGCTCTGCCCATTGACAGAAGTACAGGTGTTGGTGACATTTGATGGGTACAACAATGTTTTCCAAAAGAGTTAATTTTGGGTGTGGGAAGAATGTGTCAAAAGGGGAGGACAGAAAGGGGCCATGCTGGATAAGAGGCACTTCTGATAGATGACCCTGAAGCCCAGGGTTTTTTCCTGTCTTTCTTTCTGATGAATCAGTGGAAATGGGACCATTTGGGAATTATGGAAGTGAGTTTGAGGAGGCACAAGACAGTCTCTCTCTCTGTCTCTCTCTGTCTTTCTTTCTGTCTCTGTCTCTGTCTCTCTCTCTTTTGTTTTCCCTGTACCAGGAACCGAACTCACGACCTTGCACTTGCCAGGCAGGCGCTGTGCCGCTGAGCTAAATCCCCAGCCCCTCTGTCTCTGTCTGTCTGTCTGTCTGTCTGTCTCTCTGTCTCTCCTCTCTCTCTCTAGCAAATCCTATGCATATAACTCAGTGCTTTGAGGTGATGTCAAATGCTGAAATATATTGTTAGAATAATGTCATCACAGTAAATGGGGACTTTGGAATTTAATTTTTATTTTGGGCAAAATCTTGAGTACCTCCCTCCCCCTTTCCCTCCCTCACTCCCTTCCTCCCTTCCTCCTTTCCTCCCTCCCTTTCCTTCCTTCCTTCCTTCCTTCCTTCCTTCCTTCCTTCCTTCTTTGCTTCCTAAACTCCTGGAATTTCTGTTTTCTCATTCAGAAAATATAAATGAATGATCATCTCTACCAGCAGTCTTTCTTACTGTGATGACATTATTCTAACAAAATCTTAGCACTTTAACTGCTTTAGCTGTACAGTTCACTGGCATTCAGTACATTTGTGGGGTCGTGTGGCCATCCCCACCATCTATCTCCAGATCTGAGGATTCAAAGCACTGAACATGGGACACACCTGCGACGCCTGCTGCAAAGTCAATCCTTGCGATGCTGGGTCCTTTCAGGTGGGGAGATGTGGTTGGGCAGAAAGAGATAAGATTCTTTTGGGCAGTGATAAAGCTCTAAAAAGTGACCTGCACTAAACTCCATTTTATCAGTTCATATATTTGGCTCTCAGTTTGTGGTAAATTGGGAGGATTATTATTTTTATCTCTGGAGGCACGGAAATAATTGTTATATGCCTGGGACTTATGCTGTTTGAACTATCTATAATTAAGAATATATTTATAGAAGAGGGATTGATGAGTGAAATCCCTACAGACTTTAAAACCACTGTAAGTGAGAGGTTCTCAATGGAGGACAGTTTTGTACCTTAGGGGACATTTTGCAATCTTTTCAGCAGAATTCATTTGTCACAAGAGGAGGGCGTGCTACCTCCCATTTAGTAGATAGCTGAGGTCCAAGATGCTGTTAATCATTCTACAGTGCGTAGGACAGTTCTCTAAGACAAAGAATGACCATGCCCAAATGGAACCAACGTGATAAAAGCATGTTGTAAGACATTGTAGGTGGGGAAAGGAATAGACTGTTACAACTTGGACAAGACTGCCCAGGCCAGAGAAGGGATAGGTTGGTTCTAGTTGGTTAGGACAGGGCATCAGAACAGGACTAAAGGGGATGAATTGAAGAAGGTCAGGGCTTTTTTACAAGGAGGCATAATGTTGGATAATAATAATAACTGTAAATGTGAAGATAGACTGAAAATGTCCTATGTGCCTTTAACAATACCTATTATACATTTTGGTCCTTCTTTACCCTTTAAGTTTCTCATACCAGAGAAACTATGGTATTTACATATGTGTGTCTGATTCATTTCACTTAAGAGTATGGTCTCAAGGTGCATCCATTTTCATAGGAATGTCTCCAGCATATCCCTTTTTATGGTAGATAGTACTTCATTGATAAAAATCCCCACATCTTCTTTATCCATTCAGTAATTTATAGGCATTTGGGTTGTTTCCAAGTTGTGGCTACTACAAACTATGCCTCTATTGTTGTACCTATTTCTAAGGTGTAGTGTGACATTTCAATACATGTGTGTGAGGTGTAATGGTCACACAGGTGCATACCTGCAGGGTATATAATTTATTTGTGTTGGTGACATTTAAAATCCTGCCTACTCTCTGTTTTGTAATGCTCTACTAAATGCATCAACTATAGTTATGCTACTGTGTCTTAGACATTATTCCTGTCATCCAACTGCTCCCCTGTGCGCATTAGCCATCTTCTCTCCTTCCTTCCCTCTCCCACATTTTCTGGAGGCTCTTAACCAATATTCTATTCTCTGGTTCTTTTAGATCAAATTTTACTTTCTACACACAGCCAGAATATGTGATATATTTTTGTACCAAATTTATTTCACATAACAGAACTTCCTCGAGTTCCATCCATGTTCTTACAAATGAAAAGATGGTCCAGATTATTCCACCTATTTTACGGATGAAGAGACAATCTCCTTTCCTCCAACTGCCATGGGAACACCTATGAGACCTTCCAACATTTACTTTTCTGTGTTTCTGCTGCTGGGGCTGGGGGTGGCGCTTGGCGTTCAAAAACAATGTGAGTTTGGCTGAGCATGGAGGTTGCTAGGGAAATGATGCATTATGACTTAAGTGGGAAGCTCCTCCTGGTCCCTGGTCATCTTTCTCATCCATCTTATTCACTCAGGCAATATTTACTAGAGACACAACACCTTCCAGATCTGGTGTCTCACAGCTATCATTGACACTGATTCAGACTATGCACTGACCATCTACCATACACTGCAAGGAATTCAACCATAATAGCTAATCGATAATCCTCCCTCCACCTCCCACAGGTATGAAGCCCATCATGGACTGTCACCAAATATGCTATCGCAGTGCCTATGTTATTTGCATTTTATAGACTCAGACCATCAACTGGATCTCTGTGATAGATTTCTCTTTGTTCCATTTTATCATGTGGGCATTTGGATCCAAGTCTTTCTGTCCGTTTTAAAAAATTGATTTGTTGCTTCGAGGGCTATTTTGCCTTCCAGCCTTATTGGTGTCTACCTTGTCATTTGGGCCAGAACTCCCAAGATGGAGGGTGCTGAAATATTTCACCAAGACTCTGTTGACACTGTCTTCAACTTGGAACTCAAAATTTTGACTAAAAGCATTAATGGGCATCTTTTCTGTGGAGTGTGGTCAAATGTTTTATTCAGAGAAGCAGTTTGATTCTCTTTTATCCCATAACTGTGGCAGACGTCACTTACTGGTCAAGAATTGTTCATTTCCCTTGATGTACTGATACAAGCTGTGGCTTTATAACTTTTTCCAAGACAGCATCCTAGTCATGACCAGTCTATGGCATTTGATATGTGGGATGAAAATTATTTTCCATCCACACTCAGGTTTCTTGCCGTTGGTCTCTTGGACTTCTTGCTCCTAAAATATGTTGAGTAAACACGATGGATGTGAATGAATCAGCGGTCTCAGACTTCATTCTGGTGAACCTCTTTGGTGGATCAGGGTCACATCGGCTCCTTTTCTCCCTAGTGGCTGCCATGTTTATCATGGGCCTTCTGGGCAATGCCATTCTACTCTTCTTGATCCATGTAGACCCGCGGCTCCACACCCCCATGTACTTTCTGCTCAGCCAGCTCTCCCTGTTTGACGTTGGCTTCCCCCTGGTCACCATCCCCAAGATGGCGTCAGACTTCCCGCAAGAAGAAGGTTCCATTTCTTTCGGAGGCTGTGCAGCTCAAATATTCTTCCTGACAATGATGGGTGTGGCTGAAGGCGTGCTGCTGGCCCTCATGTCTTATGACCGCTATGTTGCTGTGTGCTATCCCTTGCAGTATCCAGTGCTCATGAGGCGCCAGGTGTGCCTGCTCATGGTGGGCTCCTCCTGGTTGGCGGGTGTGCTCAATGCTTGCATTCAGACGTCCATCACCCTGCACTTTCCCTACTGTGCCTCCCGCACCGTGGACCACTTCTTCTGCGAGGTGCCAGCCCTGCTGAAGCTCTCCTGTGCAGACACCTCAACCTATGAGCTGGCGCTGACCACTTCCGGGGTGCTGATCCTACTGCTTCCCCTTTCCCTCATCGCCACCTCCTACGGCCACGTGTTGAAGGCTGTTCTACGCATGCGCTCAGAGGAAGCCCGAAACAAGGCCTTCGCCACGTGCTCCTCACATATCACAGTGGTGGGACTTTTTTATGGAGCAGCAGTGTTCATGTACATGGTGCCGGGTGCCTACCACAACCCACACCAGGACAACATGATCTCCCTTTTCTACAGCCTCATTACCCCCACACTCAACCCCCTCATCTACAGTCTGAGAAACCGAGAGGTGAGAATGGCGTTGGTCAAAGTGCTTAGCAGAGCTGGACTCAAACCAAACTGGTGATCACATGAGGAAATGCTGAGGTGACCTCAGGGTCTTTTCGTCACACCCGTCTCTCCAAAAGTTCATTTGCTCCAGCTGCCAGGGCCCTGTGTACACAGCTAAACATCTGTGTACTTTTCCCCTGCCCCATAATAAATCAGGCTCATGCTTTTCATGGGCCTATGCAAATCAATAACAACAGTATCGGTCACTTTAGTATATCAGTTCTCTAAAAGTGTACCATTTCCACGAATAGGAGGCCTTCCCTTGTTATTATGAGGTCTGTTATTGAATTGATAATTGTGCCATTGAGACCATTTGTTGATGACATGCTCTGCCATTCATATATCCTTTTATACTCACTATAGCTTTGAGGTGTAAGGGGTTATTACTGTTCATGTTTAAGAAGAAAATAGACTCAGAAAAAATAACTCATAAATACTGTCGTTGCAAGAAAGTGGCAAAGCCGGATTAAACCCATCATCCTCTTATGCCAAAGACAACCCCCAACCACTGTGATCTTTGATTCCATAGCAGCAATACATTTGTGTGTGTGTGTGTGTGTGTATTTGCTGTTGTTGGTTGGCTAGACATTTGGAGACCACCCCATTCCTGAAGATGTGAATCATTGCTTCCAGTAGTAGTGGGCTTAAACTTAAAGGCACTTATAAAACATTTAATAAAAGCTGGGGTTACTGAAACTTGCATGAACAATTAATTATATCCTGGTTGCTTTGTCAATAGCCATTTACAACTTTGGGGAGGAGTAGTACTGATTAAGTTGTTGTGAACAAACACCCAGCTATTGGACAAAGTTAAACTTTGAAAAATATCTCTCAACAGCTTTATCATGGTGAGGTTGGCTTACAATAAGCTGCACATGCTTGAAGTAAGATTTATTGAGCTTTAGCCCATATACCCTACAGTGAAATTGCTTGGTGACGTGTTAATTGTATGTTTAAGTTTCTTTCTTTTTTTTTTATTTTAAAGAGTAAAAGAAGGATAACATAATAATAGGGGGGACTTAGCAAATTACAGACAAAATGGTAGGAAATTATCAATGGTTATTGTTTTACATATTGTTATCTACAAAATAGTTTCTCAGGAAAACAAATAGACAAATAATAGTGAGTTACAGACAAAAGAGGTAGGAGATTATCAAGAGTTGTTGTACTATACTTTGGTATCTTCAAAGTGGCTTCTAAAGAAAATAAATAGAGCTATACATGAGTGACCTATTGAAAAATCATTAACTCTTCTCAGTGGTTGTTGTAGGAAACACATAATAATAATGTATGTTTAAGTTTCTGAGGAGCCGTCAGAATGTTCTCACCATGGCTACAGCGTTTTAAATTCCTACTTCCAAGGTACGAGGGTTCTCATTCATTCACACCTTCGCGCCTGTGAGTCTTCAGTTTTAGTTTTTCAAATAATCAGCTTCTAAAGAGGGAAGGCTTGCTGCGGCGCATGGTTTCAGAGGTGTCAGGCCATCTCGTTTGCTGCCATTGTTGTAAGTCTTGTGGCGAGGTGGCCCCTCGTGACCGGAAGTGCCGGGTGGAGCAAATCCAGTCATCTTGTGGTGGGGCTGAGAAAGAATAAGAGACGAGGTCACACAAGTCCGTTTGAGGACGTGGCTCACATGACCCCAACTCCCCATGAGCCTCACCTCCTAAAGGGTGAGGTGCCCTCACCTCCATAACTGATACCAACCTGGGGATTTAGCACACGGCACTGAATGTCTCTATCAGTTCCTTATATATTTTGGGTCTTAGCTTACAGGGTTAATCACCCTGAGTTATTGCGCGCTGATCAGGACTGCAATCTCCCAAATGAGTGGAAGGCAAAGGCTTAAGTAAATGAGACAATGGTAAGGATTTTAGGGCTCCAGGAGCATCTCTCTGATGGAATTTGAGATTCTCTGGGTTAAGACCAAGACTTCTCTGGGCAACCCATACTTATTAGGTTTTCAAACAAAGGAGAAGGATACTCAGGAAAACGTGGGAATCTAGCAGGACCTCGGGAAATATTTTCCCAAGTAGTAAATTACGTCAATCAGGAGAACTACCTTATCTTTAGGTTGGTATTTATTGTAAGAGTGTGGGGCCTGCAGCTGCAGTTTCCTTGTAGCTAATTGGGGTTGGAGCCAAACCTCCTCAGCTGTGGCCTTATCTTGTCCTCCGAGGCGTCACAGCTTCACAGGCAAATACAAGCCTCAGGGTGACCAGTGACTCATAGAGATTCACTCATGAGTCTGCTGCCCATCCCCAGACCAGGTGCCTAAGCTCTGGACAATTCACAAGTAAACATGAACAGCCAATTGGTTAACGTTAAATCCTACCTAGAGCCGCTTCATACTGGTCTCCGTCATTAGCATTCGTACATATATGTTCTTGTATTCTCTGGATTATTTTTCATTTTCTTATTTCCTTTGCTATGCGGACCTTTTTAGTTTAATATGTTTTCAACTGATTGCACTGAATATACAGATTTCTTTTATTTTGTTATTTTTTAAAAAATTTATTTTAAAAATAAAAGGAGGAAAACATTAACAGACAGACAACATTTTACAAAATAGCAAAAGAACAGTACAGACAGTACAGAGTTACACACAAAGTGGTAGGGAATTCACAATGCTTGTTGTATTACATATTGATATCTTCAAAGTGGTTTCTCATGAAAACAGATATAGACATGCAATACTGATCAAGGACTCACTGACAGTTTCTTTCAGCAAAGAAATACAGTAGAACAGCCATGTTAACTATCCTGCATATACATATGTACAAAATCAGATTTCTTTGTTAGCTGGGTATCTTAACAATATCAATTCTTCCAATCCATGCTCCAGGGATATATTTCCATTTGCTTGTTTTCTCATTAGTTTCTTTCTTCAATATGTTATAGTTTTCCTCATACAGACTTTTCACTTCCTACCTAAAATTACTCCTGATTTTAAATTATTTTTAGTGCTATTGTAAGTGGAATTATTTATTTTACACATAAATAAACATGTATGTGTGTGTGCAGATATTTCCTATGCTTTTCACACCATGTATATTTGAAAGATGTTGGACAAAATATTTTGTAATGGTTATTAGAACCTTTTGTCCTGTAACATATTATCTTAAATCTGAACCTACGGTCATAAAATCAACCTGGTACTGGCTAAAAAACAGGCACGAGGACCAATGGAACAGACTGGAAGAAACAGCCACAACCAAAAACACACTCAGCCACCTAATCTTTGATAAAGGGGCCAATCAAACTCACTGGGAGAACAACAGTCTCTTTAATAAATGGTGCTGGAAAAACTGGCTTGCTACCTGCCAAGGATTGAAAATAGACCCAAGCCTATCACCATGCACCAAACTCAGGTCAAAATGGTTCACAGACCTCAATATTTAACCAGAAACACTAAAGCTATTGGAAGAGAAGGTTGGTAAAAACCTTGAAGACATAGGGGTAGGCAGAGAGTTCATGAACAAAAACCAAATTGCACGTGAAACATTTGAAAGAATCAACAAGTGGGATCTCATCCTACTGAAAAGTTTCTGCACATCTAAAGAAATCACCAGCAAAGTAAAAAGAAAACCCACAAACTTGGAAAAAATTTTAGCTGATTGTCCACCAGACAAAAGCCTTCTATCTAGAACATATAAAGAATTAAAAAATTTCAGCCCCTCCAAATTCAAAGACCCAATCCAAAAATGGGCAGTGGAGATGAATACACACTTCTCAGACAAGGAGATACAAATGGCAAATAAATATATGAGAAAATGTTCAACATCATTAGTCATTCGAGAAATGCAAATTAAAACAACACTGAGATTCCACCTTACCCCAGTAAGAATGGCTAGCATTAAGAAATCAGCCAATAACAAATGCTGGCGAGGCTGTGGAGAAATAGAAACCCTTCTCCACTGCTGGTGGGAATGCAGCCTGGTGAAACCACTGTGGAAATCAGTTTGGAGAGTCCTCAGAAAACTAGGTCTAGAGGTCCCATTCAACCCAGCTATCCCCCTGCTTGGTATTTTCCCAGATCTAAAAACATCATATCACAGTGATGTATGTGCACCTATGTTCATAGCGGCACAATTTGTAATTGCTAAAATGTGGAAGCAACCCAAATGTCCATCCACTGAGGATTGGATAAGAAAATTGTGGTACTTTTATATAATGGAATATTACTCAGCTGTAAAGAAAGATAAACTCGAGGCTTTTATAGGCAAATGGTCACAACTAGAGCCCATACTCATAAGCGAAATAAATCAAACATACATGTGCAAGCACCGCATTGTTTCTCTAGTGTAAAGCCTGAAAGAGTTAATTTAAACTAGGAGATATGACAGACATTGGGAATTGATAGGAAAGCACTCAAAGGTAAAGGATAACTGGGATAGGGAAAGAAGGAGAAAGTTTGTATATATGTATATGCAGGATAGTTAACACGGGTGTTCTACTGTCCTGTATTTCCTTGCTGAAAGAAACTGTCAGTGAGGCATTGGTTGATTAGCTTTGTATGTCTATATGTGTTTTCACGAGAAACTACATTGAAGATATCAATATGTAATACAATAAGCATTGTTAATTCCCTACCACTCTGTTTGTAACTCTGTAATGTCTGTACTGATCCTTTGCTATTTTGTAAAACGTTGTCCATCTGTTAGTATTTTCCTCCTTTTATTTCTAAAATAAAAAAAAAACAAAAAACAAAAAACCAAAAATATCAAAATCACAACTTGTGTCTTTTCAGGTCACAATCCAGTAAATAGAAGTAAATAAGAACAACTTTGGAAATCACAAAAATGCATGAAATGAAACATTTTCCTGAATGACTGATGGGTTAACGAAGATGTGGGAAGACAAATTAAAAGTTTATCAAACCAGATAAAAGTGCAAACACAACACGCTAACACCTATGAAATACAGCACGCTCAATGCAGAGGGAGGTTTACAAAATCAACGGCCAAAATACAAATATTGAAATATTTTTAACTAACCTGAAGATGCAACAGCAGGAA